TTAAATAACTATTATATAATATGGACTAAACAATATAATTATAATTATGTTAACAATAAATAACACTAAATCACAAAAATAGTATTAATACTAGCATTAGTTTATTAATGAATAATTGAGATCTATTTATATAAAATCAAACATACAAATACATAAAAGAAATTATAGTAAGTTACTTTACTGTATAAAATCGTTTATCATACGGGTGCGTAGTATAATAAAAAAACTATTGGTATTTGACAATTTTCATATGTATAGAAATCAAGTAAAAATATTATTGCGGACATTGTAAGAAAAATTTGGTTAATTCCATTTTATTGTGTTCGAACCTTTTATTGTTAACATACTGACTCATAGTTCCTGTTTACTATCGTTTCATTTTTACCGAAATATTTATTTCAAATGTATTTACAAAATTGATTAAACAATAACAAATTATAATGACACGATGGAAACCCTTTTTACATAAATTATCAAATAATTTTCAACTCTTTTCATAAAATTTCTACAAATCGTCCCTAGTTCAATCACCAATATTTCATTACACATTATTTCTAACAATTCATTCGTGAATTAATTAACTAAAGCATCCAAAATTGTTAAGTCTCAAGTATCCTTACTTTAATTAATTTACAAATATCATATTTTTAATTGTTTTATTTTGTCAATTATCACACAGACTCAATGTAATATTTCTATGAACTATATCATACATTTTACACAGGGAATTATATTCAAATATTTAAGGAAATAATGAAGTGATAGCTACAATGTTAAAGTAATTAAAAAATCTACCACAAAATAAACCATGCATTATACTACAAACGTTTACAAATTCGTCAACTAAATCAGGAAATAGTAAACAGACATAAAAAAAGAACCATTTAAATAAATAAAACATTTTTATGAGTTTCTATACAAAATCTTAAAATATACAGGCAGTACATAATATTTATATACTTAATTGAAATGATTGTTCTTTATTTGATTCGGTTTTCAAGATAAAGTCAGGCACTAGAAATCCGTATGCAATGTTCCCCTGCTTCCTTTGCTGGAAGCAGTTTTAGGACTATTGCTTTCACGAGAGTCAGGTCGTTCATCCAGATGCTTCCCATCTGTCAAGCTGCTGTACCCTAAGGAAGACGGACCTCTCGAGGACCTCGATGCCATAGCTATCAGCGGGACACCCGCGACTACCCTATACTCCGGGCGATGACCAGAATCTCCTGACTTCACTGATCCCTGATCGTTGGTGTGGTCAGAATTATGCTCGTACTGATCGATCAATGCTTTCACGTCTCTCGCAAACGGCGAGCTAGTGTTCATCGAAGAGGGATAAGACTCTACTATGGGTATGCCAACTTCATTAAAGTCACCCTTCTTCTGTGCGTCTTTCTCTTGTCCCTTTTTAGAGTACTCGAAACTGTTGGTCTTTCGCGAGCCATCTATGTAGCCATTTTGATCCATTGGTTGCAATCTCCTGCTAAGTCTTGGATCGTCGTAGTTAGCAGGATTCGGAAACTCGCGTCTTGGCAGCGAGCTCATCGCAGAAGAAGGTTGATCGCTGTTGTAAACGCGGTCGTAGTCTTTGCTCAGGATGCGTCTTCGCGATCTAGGCTCTGCGCTACCCAAATCGCTCTCCACATCAGAGTCTAGGTCTAGAGGTTTGTAGGCTACTTTTGGGCTAGAGTCTTTTTTACCATCATCATCAGTGGAACTCAATTCATCCTCGGAGTCCAGGTTGCGTATGTCCGATTGTCGCGATTGCGATGCTTGGCTGAGCGAGGACTTTGAACCTGTTCGACGGTTACCTGGTCCCAAGGGACCGTATTTCAACGGTACAGGTTCGTTTTGTTTCTGTTCTTCTTCTCTTTGCGCGCTTTGACTCGATGGTTCGACTGGATTCGGCACTTCTTCGGCAGAAACTTCTGCTTGCACTGTGTTGTCTATGGAATAAAAAACCGTAATTAGAGTTCGGTTTTAATTTTGTATTGTATTTAGGACATTTTTTTAGATATATTTAAGAATATTTTTGTCATGCTTTTTGTGAAATTGGTATGTTTGTTTTGTTTGCAATCAGCAAGATGAGCGAGTGAAGTTATACAAAAGAAAATTATAATAAAATTATGGTATTTATAAATCACTTAAAATTAAGGATAAAATTAAATAATAAGAAAAACCTATTTTCCTATAATTTCATTCTTGTTAGAAGTATAACGATGTATATCTACAGAATATGAGAGTAGATTTTTTAAATGATGTATAATGTATAATGTTTATCGTTCAGATAATGAACGAACAATAAGTATTTATAACATTTAATTTCGCAGTAATAATATGATACTTAACCTGCAGTATCGTTGAAAATTTGAAGCTGAATTTGAGAAATCTAAGTGTCATTCATTTTTTTAAGTATAAATTAAACATTACATTTCTATTGTCAATCGTTGGCCTTTAAAGTGTACGTAAATATAGAATAGACATTCAAATTGTTCTTTTTCCTAATAAATTATTAACGATAAAGTAATTGTATCGAATCTAGTTAAGAAATAAATCTTAGGGCAAGGGGTTAAAATAGTTTCATTGTGTTTTTTTTTAACATTAAAGTCTAAGAAAGTGAATAAGAGAAAACTTAATTGTTCAACGTAAGACTAGCTTGCTTGAACAAGAGGAATATAGAGTTTGAAGATTATTTTTTGTCTTCTAAATCATCATACAAAATTGATATATAAATAAAATGTTCATTGTGACTCACTGTTATTATTTCTGCTGGATGGCTCCGGTTGTCTTTTAGTTGGACTGGTCATCAACTGTTGCATCTCAGCGCCGGATGAGACTTCCTTGCTTTCTTGAACGTAAAGCTGCAAGTTTTTGCAGAAGAACCACAGAAGAACCTTCAACACGATACTTAAGACCAAGATAGAACCCGTTAAGTAGCATAAATAGTTGCCTAGTTTTAAACTTTCGTGTAGGCGACACGCTGTTTTTTGAGATCCCCAATATTGACAAGTTAGATTCGCTACTGTGTCGTATATAAGTTTTCCGCAAATGTTTATAATAAGAGCGGACCACATCATCCAGAAAGCAATGCTGACGGCTTTATCTTGCGGGTAGACTGATCTCAGAACTATTAAGAAGTCTCCAACAACCATCGAGGCAATCAGTATGTACACCAACAGAGTGGAAAGCTGAAGAAAAAATCAAATAGTTTTCGTCACGATTTAAAATTGTTTAATTCTTTAAACGAGATAAATTGGCTCATACAGTACATTTATTCGCTATCCAGTATGTGAAGTGCAAATAATAGGTAATAAATACATAAGAGTATGCAGAATATGAAAATATTAAATATTGTGGATTTTGGACGACATTGATTGTGACAACTTGTCATTACATTAATTTTTGTATTCTTGTTAATGTTTAAAGTCGTATTAAAAAGATATTAAAATGTCATCATAATAATTATAGCTACAATAACCAATTTTGTATATTTTAGTATACTCTTAATAAAAAATACACTTAAAAAAAATATGTTTTTATATTTATATGAAGTTTCTGCGTGACTTACTGTATGTATTTCCTTATTACACAAAATATATTAGTCGAAAGAAAGCTTTCTTCTTAAAAGAATATAGAACATTACATACAACATTAATTAATATAAATAAAAAATAAATTAAATATAATAAATATTAAATTTTCACCTCAAAAATTAACCATCCGAACTGACAGTTCTTTGAGTCACAAGGCCCATCATAAAGGTCCTTGTTTTCCGTATCTTCCATACAACTGCAGCCAGTGTAAATCGTCATACCGTTCTTTTGTTCGGAGGATGTGCATCCAGCATGACAAGGACTATAAAAGGTGAACTTGCCTTTACTGTCGCAAACTGGATGGAAATCAGCGTCGTTTGAACAGCCGCAATTTCTGTTGCAATACCTTAGCAAAAATAATCTAAAAAAGAGCACATACTTGATTATTTAATTATAATGTCGATAATATTTCTACTATTACAGAAAAAGTTCATTGGTTATTGTCATTTAATGTATTTATCCAAATATCTACAATATAATTACACCACTATTTACGTCATCACTGTGAATAGTTGATAGTTTGTGTACGAATATTCTTTTTCACGTCTCAAATATAATATATCATCAGTAACACTTTATATCCTATTACGTAAGTAGTAATTTGGAAGGTTTCTGGCTGAACTAAATATTAAATTAAACTAAATAATAGTGATATTAATTGAAATTAGTTCACTTTTTACTGTTAATAAAATGCTAGATAATAACAAAAATTAAATTGCCCCATCTTTAATATTCGCAAGTAACAATTAAGAGAAATGTATACCAGACATTTATTCAATTAGTGAATTCACTGATAAATTCTCAAATTCGATTCTTTTGTTTAAAGTAAAACTGTTAAGTCCTGCATAATTAGTTTACTCAAATAATATATAAAAGGTCGCTATATCATGGATCATAAACACAGCGAATATAACTGGACAAAATATTAATTTGCGTACTTTCAAATTTGAAATGTGTTACATATGTCACCTAATATTTTGTACGCATTTTTTATT